GGGCTGGAGCCCAGCACCCCTCGCTCCTTCCCCGGGGACTCGTGGCAGCAAATACATGGCCCCACTGTACAGCAGCCACGCTTGTGTGGCCTAGGCTGTCTGTGGGATTAAAGGGGCCATTCGTCATCAGGAGAAACCAGTCACCTCAGGGTGGGGACTCACTGCACAGACAGGAAATGAGCACTTGGCCCTCTGCCCTGGCTCCAGAACCCCGCCCACCAGGTACCTGCTTCCTGCTTCCTGGGGTGTCACTGCCTGGGGGAGGCCAGTGGCGAGTTGTTGATGGCTGGAGGCACTGTCAAGACTGGCGAGGAGGTGCACACCAGAGTGAGCGGCCTGGGGCTCTGGGAGAGAGGGGCAAGGGGCCTCACACACAAGTTTTGCTGTGCCAAGCTGTTGAGTTGGCACATGCCCCTGAGGCCTAGGACCCGTGTACCACCACCGCACCAGCCCTCTGGCTCTGCCCTGCAATTACCAGAGGGTGTGTTTTGTGGAGGAGTTCTGGTGGTGTAGTGGGTAAGGTATTTGGCTGCTAGGTAAGCTGTTCAAACCCACCAGCTGCTTGGGAGGAAGATGAGGCAATCTACTTCCGTAAAGATTCACAGCCTTGGAAACCCAGTGGGGGTCTCTATGAGTCAGAATCGACTTGATGGCAGTGGGTTTAGTTTGGTGAGTTTGGTGTTGTGCGGGATATAGGCTGGAAGGTTGTGGAGAGAGGAAGCAGGGGACGGACCAGACGGGTATGAAGTGAGACGGGATGCAGTAAGTCGGCAGAGTGTGGTGAGAGCTGACAGAAGAGGGGTATCCTTGACTCAGGCTCATGGACCAATGGCTGAGCCTATGCAGGTGTCCTGAAATCCCACAGGGGCTGGCAGGAAGTGATGTGATTTTGTTCAGGTAAAGGGGCTCAGGCCTGGGGATGGGCAGGCCTGGAGTCAGACCTCAGCCCCAAATACTCATCAAACCTCCCAAGGGGTCTCCCCCAGGGGCTGCACTATGGATGGAAGCTCACTTTCAGAAGCAGGCACTGCTGTCAGCGACCCTGGCTTTCAGGATAAGGAAGCTGAGGACTGGGATGTAAAGTGACTTGCCTCAGCCACTCAGGCCACTGCCCCTCACCTCCAATATGCTGGGTACCGCTGCACCTTCAGGGACAAAGCCTGTGAGGCGTCCAGCACAGGTCGAGGCCCCTAGTGTCCCTTGGCTGGTATCATTTTTGTTACAGAACAAGGCTGCCAAAGGCTGTCGCACCTGCAAGGGCCACCAGGGGAGCAGCTTCCCAGAAGGAACCTGGAGACTGTGTCATGGCAACTCTAGGATGTAGTCAGGGACACAGCTACATAGCACGTGGAGACCCAGGGATGTGTCCACACCGTCAGCAGACACCCCCATGGGTACAAAGGGGCACATGAGGACACGAGACAGAGTCTGGCCCCTTCCTGCCTCCCTGGGCCGGCTCCAGCCTCATCGCCCTTTTGGCTACTGGGTGGTGGAGGCTTGTGTCCCAGGCCTGGGAGAGCATGTGCAGTCAGCAGTGGTCAGGTTCTGAGGGGCCCCCCAGACCGGCACCCTCCTCCTGCTCCACCCTTGTTGCCTTTCTCAGGGGTTGCAAATTCCATTGCCTGTGGTGCCGTGGAGGTGAAGTGAGGGCAGCAGGATTCGTGGGAGACGTAAGGGGATGGTGAGGGTTGTGGCAGCCCGCAGAGCACTGCCCAGGTGCTGGGGGCCATCAGGAGTGTGGGACCGCAGTGGCCCAATCTTCCCTGTTTCTCAAGAAAAATCCAAAATCTGAATTTTACTGTGAAATCTGATAGATTTAAATGAAGAAAACTATTTTTTTTAATTAAATGCTGTCTGGGCCAGTGCAGCCAGCCTGAATAGACTGAACCAGGGGATGAGGACTGGCTATTTCCCCAGAGGTCAGGCCGGGCCTGGGGCTGCCAAAGGGGCTGGAGGTGAGGCCTGCGGAGGGGCCAGGGCATCTCAGCAAACTCCTTGGGGCGGGGCAGGCTCCGCGGACCCTATGAGATGGAGCTGCCTGGGCGGGAACCAGCCAACCCTGAGTAAAGGGAAGCCGGCCCTTCCCCTGCTGGACAGAGAAGGCAGCGCCTGGGGGCTGGGGGAGCAGCTCGGAGCCTGCCCCTGCTCAGCCTTAGCCCCTCTCCTCAAGATACATTCCCAGTGACCCACACCTCGGTGCTGACCAGCCCCCTGGTCCCAAGCTGCAGCCTTGGGTGATTTACACCCAGTGCGTGGGCTGAAGGGACGGTGGGGTGCAGGGAAGGAAGCAGGATGCAGAGGGCGAGGGATGCTGCTGTTTAACCCAAGACGCAGAAGGCCACCTGCGGTTCTGCCTATGGCAGGACTGAGGGGTGGGGGCTCAGGGCTGCAGGGCTGGCCGCTCATCACCAGAGAGGAGGGGTGGGCAGAGACCAGGGCCCTCTTGTCTCGTACGAACCAAGGGCAGCAGCTGGCTGGGGCGGCCCAGAGGCTGTTTCTCAAATGCTGGGCTGGCCCTCTCCCATCAGGCAGCAGGCTTCCCACTCTTCTCCCTGCTCAGCTGGAGGGCAGGGGTTTCAAAGGGCCCTTGGAAGGCTCAGCATGCACCCAGACTGCAGCTCGGGCCCCCCACCTACACTCAAGGGCTGCTTTGTCCAGAAGCCAAGATGCCAGCAAGCACCTTGAAGGGAGTGGGAACAACAGGGAGGAGGGCTGGCGGTCGGGCGTCAGCACCCAGTGCAGGGAAACTCCAGGGCCAAAGCCCACGGGATTGCATCCTCCCTGGGCTCTCAGGATTTGTGCACTGATTAAAGCCTTCCAGAGCTGTGCAATTCTGAGCAAGTTCCTCAACCTCTCTGCCTCAGTTCCCTTATCTATAAAACGTGGAAAATGATAGTGCCTACCTCATATGGTAGGAGCTCTGGTAGCATAGTGCCTAAGGCACTTGACTGCTCACCAGAAGGCTGGCGGTTCAAGCCCACCAGCCACTCCTCGGAAGGAAGGCTGGGCAATCCTACTTCCGTAGTGATACTGCCTCGGAAACCCAAGGAGGGGTCGCTATGAGTCGGGGCCGACTCGACGGCAAACAACAACCACCACCTCATATGGTTAAGTGGATACAGTAGGTCAGTGCTTGGAACAGTCGAGGTGTGTCGCAACGCTGTATGTGGCCGTTACTATCTGACACGGTACAACCCGCTGAGGTGGCAGGCCAAGTGCCATCCCCATTTGCAGAGCGGGAAGGGGCCACAGAGAGGGGCTGACCTGGCTCCTTAGCCAGCAGCAAAGGGCCAGCCCTCTGACTCAGTTTTTAGAGGCACCAAGGGCTCCCTCCCTTCTTACCCCAAATCCAGTGCAGCAGACTGAATTCTTCTAACATCTTTTATTGATTTTGCAAGAGAAAAAAATAGAAATTTATTTTAGCGTTAATGCCTGTACAGTTTTTCTCCTCCTAAATTGCATGGTACATAAAATTATAAACATCAGCTCCGATTCCGGGCGTGCGTGTGTGTAGTGTTTGTGCGACCTCCCTGGCAGATGTGACCCCACTGACGCCTAGGGCAGGAAAGTGGGATCCCTTTAAAGTAGCTGCACTGGCCACTGGCTGCGGTCACCGAGAGCCAGTGCGCTCAGCCTCAACTCTCCTGGGAAGCAGTCTGAGAGATGCCCACCACGTCTGGGAGGTGAGCAGAGAAGCCGGGGGCTTGGAAGCCACAGAAATGATGGATCTTTCCTGGGAGAAACAATCCCTTATCTTCGCATCAGCCTGCGCTCCAAAGAAAAAGCGCATTTGCATAGCTGCTCGGCACAGACGCTGCAAAGCTCATAAAGTATTTGCTGTGGCTCTCGGTTGCATAGGAACCTACTTAAGAGTACAGTACAGCAGCGGGCTGGGCTGGGTGCCAGGAAAACAACAGATTAATATTTGGAACGAGAAATTACCCACCACTGGGAAACCAATTAGGTCCCTGATCCGAGCTTGTTACATAGACGGAAATAGATGTGCTCTGGGCTCCTTGTGGCTTGGGGTGCAAGGCACATTTCCAACTTGCTGGGAAGTGGCTGGAAGGGAGGAGTGGGACCCGGGGCCCGGGCAGCAAGCAAGCCAGCCCACAAACCCCAAGCCGATCCTGAGCAAGGTGGCAGGGGCCTGGCGTGAGGGAGCTGTGCCTCTGCGCCTGCGTCTGGAGCATCTAGTGCATTATGTCAGCCCTCTGGGTCTGACGCTATGCTCTCTGGGCCACCAGCGCTGCAGAAACATGCCTTTGGCATGGCAGAGGGGCCCAGCTTTGGGTGGTGGGCCAACACGGCTCACTCCTTATTGGGACACAGCCCTGGGTCAGCCCCTCATCAGGCCTGACCAGAGGACAGCAGCCTTGCAGAGCCAGCTCTCTGAGGGGCCCTCCTTGACTGGGGCACAGAATGAGTGAGGGAGTGTGGCAGTCCTGACCAGAAATGTGGGGGCCAGGAAACAACCTCACCAGCTGCACTGGCCCCGAAATGATGCAGAGATGTGCAGTGTGTCAGGTCCTGGTGCAGAGACATCCCCAGTGCCCCTCGCCCCTCTCCCCTGCAAATGCTGGTGTTGGCCTATGAGGTTGAGCCATGCACAGGACTCTAGCAGGCTGGAAGGAAGGCCTCACTGTCCTGGCTTGAGTCAGGGCCAGACTAGGGCAGACCTGAGAGGGCATGGGTCCTGCTTTGCTGGCTTTTATAGGAGGCACCGAGGGAAGTGTCTCTGGGCTCCTACCTCCAGCCCCAGGGCCCCAGGGGAAGCCTGCAGGCTACACCACCCTGCAGTGGCAGCCCACCCTCCTCCTGTCCGTAACTCCTGAAATTTCCAGGCTGTCTCCCATGTCCCCTCTTGCCATGGGGTCCTGGCTGGCCCACACTGAGAGCTGTGGGTGGGGGACGTGGGCACTGAGTGGGAGGCCAGGGATAGAGCCCTGGTGTGCAGGGGACCCACTCCCTGCTGGCTGGTGCCACTCTCCCTCCGTCAGTCAGCATCTCCACCGTCTCGCTGGCTCCTTTTCGCTTATGCAGGTTTTGGGGCGTAAGGCTGTCAAGGGAGAGCACACAGGAACCAGAGTCATGGAACCTCAAATCCTTGAGGGATGCCCTTGCCCTGCCCGCAGGGTGAGTCCAAACTGCTCGGGTTGCCCTTCAAGGCCTGCGGGGTCTGGCCGCCACCTGCATCTTCCGGCAGCCTTTGAGCTCAGGGCCTTGGCGCGGCTGTTCCTGCCGCCGGCACACTCCTCACATCTTTCAGGATTGGCTCAGAGGCCACCTCCTTTGGGAATAACCTCCCCCTCCTCCGCGGGCTTCCCCCAGTCTTGATGCAAGTCTGCCGCCCAAGCCCCCTCCCAGGGCGAGAGCCCGGGTGGCTGCAGTCAGTGATACACCAGGCCTACAGCTGAGCCTGGCGCCCTACGCACATGGTAAGTGACACTTAGTGTAGTGTGCGGGAGGAGAGAGAGAAAAAGGCAGGGAGGGTCTGGGCGCCTGGCAGCCTCACACTGGCCACAGGAGGCTCCTCAGGGAAGAGTGTGGCGAGTCCAGAGGAAGGTGTCTGGAGCTGAGCCTGGCTCATGACGGGGAGGTTCTGGAGGCCGCAAGAGGTGAGCGGTCGTCCAGCCCTGGCCAAGCCGGTGAGCCTCTCAGGACACAGCCTCTGAGACAGCAGGCGGGGGCCATGGGAGCACTGGGAACTTGGGACCCTCCCCACCTCTGTTCACTCCGGGGTCAGCAGGTGGAAAGCTGAGGTGGACACCACCACCTTGCGGGAGGCAGAGCCCCTCACCTAGGTACCCCGCTTGGGACTCACAAGCACTGTGATGGGCAGGGGAGGAAAGACCAGCCCCTTTTATGAGGGAAACGGAGGCACGAGAAGGGCTTCTCCAAACTCCTGCAGCTAACAAAGTAGATGGCTGGCATTTGAACTCAAGTCTGCCTGACCCAAGTCAAATGCTCCCGAAATATATCTAAACACTGAGCCAAGACCTGGTTTTATTGTCACAGCAGACCCACCTTCCGGATATGAGGACACCGGGCCCAGACTGGTTCTGGGGCTCTGACCCAGGTGTGGGTGACCTTCCGTACCTTGCTTCAACCCTCTGCTCTCTGGTCTATTCCAAGACCTCCTTGCCCTTGGAGCCCGGGGCCAGGCAGGCTGCAGGAGGGACGCAGGGAGACCAACGCGGGCGGGCTGGCAGTGGTCAGCCTCGAGCCACCCCACCCCCAACCCCAGAGGCCCACCTAGTCCTGCCCCTGCTGTCCTTCCGGCCAGCGCCGGCCCCACCCTAAGCTCCCAAAGTCCCTCTCTGCTCCCGAGCCCCCACCCAGGCTGGATCTACCTCTCTCTGAAGGCCACCGGAACCAGAACCGATGCCGCCCTAGTGACAACTCCCACTTCCTGCCGAGACCTGGCTCCTCGCCTGGCAGTCCGTGCTGACTCCGCCCACCGCCCACGTGTTGTAGTGCTCCCCACCCAGCAGCATTCACTGCTTCCGGCTCCGGGTTCAGCCATATGCAGCCGGAGTGCCAGCCTTTCCTGCCTTCCGACCTCCTCAGGCTTCAGACCAGCGCCATTGGCCCCTTCCCCACACCGCCCACTCCCATAGCTCCCTCCTGCGCCCTCACACTGCCCTGTGCCCCCGGCCCACACTTGCCGTAGACGTGCACAAGAGTAAGGCTCGGGCAAAACCAGAGCCGCCCGCTCTCCAGACTTGGGAAGATGGAAAACGAGGTATTTTAGATCGAGAGCAAATGGTTACCGAAAGGTAATCAGAAACTTCAACCAAGGAGACTGCCCCTCCTTCGAGAAGCGGTGTAGTGGAGGCGGCTCAAGGATTCCGGAGCCGGACTGCCTGGGCTTGGACCCCAGCTCTGCCCCGTCTGGTTCTGTGAGTCCCTGGACGAGGGCCTTAGCCTCTCTGCACCCGTTTCCTCATCTCTAATGGAGAGGATGGCAGGAGACCCTGCCTCACCAGGGGGTTGCAAGGATTGACTCAGCTAATCTTCCAGAGCATTGAGAACAGTGCCTCACACTGTTTAGAAGGCAGCTCTCATTATTCATGGCTCTCTCGTAAATATCTATTTTGGAGCATGCTGCGCCTTCCTGAGGCCCCGTGGCGCCCCTCGTCCCCTAGCGGGCCAGCGTGATCTGGCTTCTCCGGCTTTCCCACTTGCTCTCCCGCCCTCTGCCTCTCTAGGCCGGCTCACTGGCGCCTTCCATGTGCCTCAAACACTGAGATCGCCCCTGTCCCTGCTCGGGGGCCTTTGCATGGGATGTTCCTGTGGGCCGGGTACATTCTTCCCGCTGCGGTGCCAGGTCCTGCTCGTCCTGGAGGTCTCAGCTCAAACGCCCCCTGCCCGTACCCCTGGCCCCTCTAGGTAAAGTCCCTTCCGAACCCTCCCACCCCAACACTTTGTCCCAGCCATTTTTCTACCGAGCATTTCATACAGCTGAAATCTGCCCATCTGTCTGTTTACTTGGCTCCTGCCTGTTTCCCCATGGAACACAGGTGCCAGGAGGCCAGGCCCTTGACTGCCCTGTTCCCACCTGGAGTAGGGGATGCTGCTCCATGTTACTGGAAGGTCTGTAGGAAGAAGGTGACAGTCTGCACCACCACTAGTCCCACCTCAGCCCTTGGCAGGCTCTCGGGGAGAAGAGGGACCTGAGGATGGGCAGGTGAGAGTGGGCATGGAGGTCCCTGCTTCCCGGGCAGGAGCTCTGGGGGAGATGGGGTACTGACCTGGGTCTACAGCGCTCTGCTTCCGCTTGGCGTTGGTAACAACGTGGCGCTCGTTCAGCATCTGGATGTCCTGATCCTGCACCTGGTTGCTGAGGTGGGAGAAGGCAGAAGACGCTCAGTCGGTGGGCGGTGCACGTGCCCCTGCCGTCTGTCCCCATCAGGTGCGGGGCTACAGCTGGCTGGGCCAGCAGGAGGGTGTGTGCTGGGCATGGACACACCTGATGGTGGTGTACTTCTCCTGGTGACAGATCTCCGTGTCCTCGGTGAAGAGGATGGTGTGGTAGGGCACCGTAGGTTCGCATGTGGGCAGGATGCCGCCCACCAAGTGGCTCACCATGGCCAGGACCCCATTGTACACCAGCAGGTCATCCACCAGGAGCTGGACAGATGGACAGAGAGAGGAGGACTGGGCCATGGCCAGCTGTCAGTGCAGTGGGGTGGAGCAAGCACCCCCTAAGCATGGCACATGGCCACCCTGGATGTGTGGGTGACTATCTTGATGTTGATAGTTAACATATTTAAAAGGGATAGCAAAGACCACTCATGTATCAGGCCCCTGATTTCATGGGTCACGAATGGCTTAGTCAAGCTAAATAACGTGAGTCAGTGAAATGAAGAGCAGCGGACTAATGGTGCAGGTGGGAGTTCTGGTAGCGTAGTGCCTAAGGCACTTGATGCTAACCAGAAGGTTGGCGGTTCAAACCCACCAACCACTCCTCGGAAGGAAGATGGGACAATCTACTTCCGTAGTGATACTGCCTTGGAAACCCAAGGAGGGATTGCTATGAGTCGGGCCGACTTGACAGCACATACCACCGCCACCACAATGGTGCGGGTGTAAGATGTGAAAGTGGCAACGCTTAAGGTGGTCTGGGAATAGCTCAGGTTGGAAACAGGAATCCAGAGGGAATAGCTCAGATCAGGCACCAGGACAAGCCTGGGTTCAAATTCTCCTCCCCACACTTGACATTGGGCAAGTGCTGCAGTGCCAGCCCAGAGCCCTGGCTCTCCTCTGGGAGGGGGTGCCAGCTCCAAGTGCTTACTGTGTGCCAGGCCTTCACTGGCACCTCAGAGCTCCCCAGCCAGCCAGAAGGCACGGTTAGCCCCACAGTGCTGACGAGGGTGGGGGAGGTGCAGAGGGGCTGAACACTGCTGCTCACCACGCAGAGCAGGGAGGTCACGGGGCCTGCACCCCCCGAGTCCCTGCTCATCCCACCCAGGTCACCTCCCAGCGTGAAGTGCTCCCAAGCCAGGGTGACTCGAGCAGAAGGCAGGCAGAAAGCAGAAAAGCCAAGCCCCTTTCTCTTTGTTCAGGGTGACGGTTCAAATCACTGTGGAGGCTTTGAATTTCACGGTTGGATGGCAGTTTCCCTGCATCTGAGCACCCGGCGTTTGTGTCTAAGGTTGCAATGGAGAGAAGTAAATCAAACTGCGACAAATGGTAATTGCTGGCGGCCTAATTACCAACGAGCATAATTATCTCAAAAAGCCCAGCTAATAAGTACTTACACCAAACTCCTTCACCCCTCGATGGGGTGTTTTCGCGTAATTCCACAGTTTGATCATTGACACGGTGGTGGGCAGATCGAAAATTACATACACTCGGTTCACCTATCAGGGAGAAGGATCCATCACAACAGGCATGTTTGGAAACAGGCGCTCAGCTGGGTCAGGTGCTGGTGTGGGCAGGGGATAGCCTGCGCCTGCAACCTGGGCAGCCCGGGCCGCGGCTTGTGCAGTGCCGGCACCTCCCACCTCCTTGCAGCCCATCTCGAGTCAGGTCACATGTGGCTGCGTTTGCAGCAAAGCGCTGAGCTGGCTCCTGGAAGGCCTGTTTCCCAGGGCCTGGTGTGGCTGGCCCTCATTTAAATACCACTGGAGACCTGGGCGCCCCTTGCCTTTCCCCCACGCAGGCCGAGATCACAGTCTGGGGCTTTGTGGTTCAAGGGACAGTCGCCAACCCTAGACTGGGAGCAGTCCTCCTAAGCAGTCTGCCTTGACCTCTGTCTGTCCTTCCCCGGGCCTCATAAATGAAAAGCAAAGCAGAGAGGCCCTGAAGGCACTGCTGGGTGATTTTAGGACGTGTCCTTGAGGTTCTGCTTGGGGAGAGGAAGTGGAGTGGCAGAACTCTACTAGTAAAGGAGCGCCCAGCAGCTGCCCTCCAAAACAAACTCTCAGATACGGGGCAGCCCCTTGCAAGGCAGAAGACAGTCAGTGCTGGCCAGGCCACAGCCTTCCCTTTGCCCCAGCCTGCGGCCATCCTAAGAATGCCCCCAAAGGGTCTGTGTATGGGGGGGGGAGGGTCAGCCTTCTGTTGACCTGGAGAAACAACAAAGGCCTACATGAGCTTTTCAAACTCAGTGCCTGCCGGGTTCAAGCAGGTACAAATGTTTGACTGTGATTGGGAGGTGCACATCTGGAGTATTACCCCCCACACATATGAAAAGCTATGGTAAGGATGACAGGCTATGGTAAGCATAGTTACAGCAGTGTCTGGACTGGCTGATGGGCAGCTGGTCTGCAGCCCTGGGTGTATGGGCAACGTGGGAAGGGGGCTACGAGGGCACAAGAGAAGCTGAAGGACCTTTAATGGAGCGGGGAGCATTTAGGGGTGGCCTTTGGACAACAGCCATAATACTGCTGATACTATTCTATCAGTATTTTGGGAGGAAATTGTACACCTCTCCTCCCACCCAATCACATGGAGTTGAAAAAGGGGGCACTTCAGTGGTCTCACAGATGCCCCAGACCCTGCTGCACAGCTTGACCCAGGTGTCTGGGCTCCACCCACCTGAGAAAACCACACTCCCATGATGCACTATCCCCACCTCCTGGCCCATCTCTTCCCTCTCTATCCACAGCTGACAGGCCTGGGTGGGTGAAGCCCACGCCTGGGGTCACACAGGGTCTTGGAGCAAAAAGATAAGCAGGACCAGGCAGCCTTGGGGTCAGAGAGCAGGCAGGGGTGGCTGTGTTTGGGTCAAGTGCTTAGTGACACTAGGGAGGAGTAGTGACAGTGGTGTGGAGAGGCCACGACTAGGAGGGGCGGGGTGGCCTGCAGGGAGAGGCAGAGGAAGGGAAGGACACTGGGCTTCCTGGCCTCAGATTCCCATCTGGTCCTTCATCTCCCTGGTGCCCTGTGGTAGTTAAGGTTGTCTGTCAACTTGGCTGGGCCTGGTTTTGAGTAGCTGGGCAGCTGGATGGAGTCATTCCCCATGAGACTGGCAATCAGCTCTATGGTGGAATATACAGTGAGCAGCTAAGTAGCTGCCTTGGGGATGTGGTCTGCTTCCAGTGTATAAGGAGAAGCATTGAGAAAGGTCTCTGAGCTTTTTGACACATTGGAGTCTGCATATAGCTGAGTGTTTATCTCAATGGCCTGCCAGTCTTAGGGCTGTTAATGGAGTTGAATTAGTGGTCTGTCATGTGGTTTGATAATTTTGAACTGTGCCATTTTACCTGTCAACCTTGGATTTGTCAGCCTCAGCAGCTGACTGAGTTACAAGAAGCCTCCGGCTTCAGCGGGCTGGGAGCAAGATGGAGAGCTGAAGCCCAAGGTCAAGGGGCTTTCACCCAACCCTAGATCCTGGCACTTTGAACTTGGATTTCTAGCCTCCAAAATTGTAAGAGAAATAAACTCCTGTTTGTTCAAGCCACACACCTGTGGTATTTTCTGTTAGAGGGGCACTAGGTGACCAAAACATGCCCCCTATGAAAAGCAGCCCAGAGCAAAGAGGAAGAGCCACTGGTTCTGATCCCAGCAGCATTAGGCAAGACCTGTGCCTCCTGATGGCTCCGATGGGGGACTAACTTGGCCTGGAAGAGAAAGACCTGGACCGGAAAGACCCCTGCAGGCAGCCGCCCTCGCCGGGAACCCACCAGCCCCGGCAGGATGGGAGCCAGCCACATGTGTCTGCCATCGCTGGTGGTGTTCACTTGGTCGATGAGCTTGTCGGGGGTCCGGACATCCCCACACACACCCTCCAGGGAGTTCACGCTGTCCGGGAAGGCGGCGATATCTGGGAAAGCCTGTCAGCTGTCATAACTGGAAGGCAGTATGTTTGGGACCGTGGGCCATGCTCAGGGCCACCTGCCTCTGTCATGCTGACGGTGCTGGGGCTGCAGGGCTGGCAGACAGAGCCGCTATGGCTGCTCAGGGCGGCTGGAGGAAGGACAGCCAGATCAGACACGGAGGGGTGGGGAGGCATGCGGGGGGGGGGTGGCCATGTGGTGGGGAGGCCACAGAGGGGAAGGACTAAGCAGAGAGCTAGCTGGAAAAGAGGGCCTTCTCAGAGTAGCCGGAGACAAAGGAGCAAAAAGTGCTATTGCTGCTTTGGAGGGTGAAAGGCAAACTCTGCGATCCTCTTTGGGAAGGGAACAGCATGGGGACTGGGTCTTGCCTTGCCGTGTCTCCTTGGCCGTGGCCTGACGCAGCCATTGCTGCTCAGCTGACAGGCATTAGTATGGCTCTGAGAACACAGGCTCTGTCTGGCTCTATCATTGGGACCCATGAGATGCTGGGCAAGTTACAAAACACTTCTGGACCTGTTTCCGCATCTGTAAAATGGGTATAAAAACCTCCACGTCCTAGGATAGAAGTGAGGACTTCTAAGACATCACATGTGAGCTCTCTTAGTAAAATCAGTAAAGCCTTCCACATCCAGGGATCACTGATAAAGACCAAAAACATCAGGATTATTAATCCCAGTTGAGGATGCTGGTGGCATCAGGGGAAGGCAGACAAGGATCCAACTGGGATCCAGGGAGCCCAAATAGCTGCAAGACAAGTTTTAGGGTTTGACTGGCATTGCTGTCCTGTGTTGGGTCAGGAGTCCTGCACTCACATGCCCAGAGAGGCAGGCTACCTAGGATCATGGGCATGCTGTCTGGAGCGAGACTCCCTGCTCCACCACTCACCTGGGCCAGATCGCTCAACCTGTGTGTCTCATGTTCCTCGCGTAAAATGAGGATAAAGCAGCACCCCCCTCACAGCATTGCTGGGAGGGTAAACATGGTTCCATGTGACAAGCCCTGGCGCGATGCCTGGCACAGAGCGGGCTGTCGGTATGTTTCAGGGGTCTGGTGGAGAACAACAGGCAGGCTGAGGACTGAGGGAAATGGACTCACTAGGAGAAGAGGCTCCCGGATGCTCAGGCCCAGGCATCACTGCTGTGCGTGACTCGGGCCCCACGCACTGCCAGTTTCTCAAGAGGGGCTGGAGACCGGGGTTTACGTATGAAACTTCCTTCTTTTTTAAATATTAGCAACTAGTTTAAAATATTTCGAAATTCACTGGGCTAACAGTTTGCAAATTCCAGTGTGGGTATTCCATGAACAAAGGGTTCAATAGTCAATACATTTGGGACACATTGAGCTGAACAAAGCAAAACAGGTTTCTCCCTGCAGGATTCGTCAGAGCCTTTAGCGCTTCAAAGTGGTTCTCCGAGAGGGGGCAGCAGCTGGCAGCCTCTCCCGGTTGACACCTGATTGAAGGGGACTAGGTTCTGCAGGTGTGGACAGGGAACTGCTCTCTGCTTTGTCCTGCCCCAAGAGTGAGCCTCCGGCTCTAAGCCGAGCCCGTGACATTTTTTAACCTGGGGCTCTGGTTCCCCCGTTCAAGGCTTCTGCTCCTTCCCGGACCCTCCCGTGCTCCCTTTGGTCTGGCTGAGACCACTTCGGCCCTGGGAAGGATACTGTTTTCCGACAAAGGAATTTTTTCTCCCCGCTCGTCATACAGCTCCAGGCCGGTCAGGCCAATGTAATAGGGGTCACCCCAGCTGGTCAGGAGCTGAAACTGGAAAATGACTGGGACACACGATTAAGGAAAACCAGGCTAATGTCTGGAGAGCAAAGTAAGACAAGGACACAGGTCACAGAGGGGCTTCTTTCTAGGACTAAATGATAAAGAGAGAAAAGCGAGACTGAAGCCTATCAAAATACATGTGACATCAAGTTTTTAGTTTAAGTTGCATCTATTTATACATATGCATATGTGTATGTAGGGAGCTCTGGTAGCATAGTACCTAAAGCACTTGACTGCTTACCAGAAGGCTGGCAGTTCAAACCCACCAGCCACTCCTCGGAAGGAAGATGGGGCAATCTACTTCTGTAGTGATACTGCCTCGGAAACCCAAGGAGGGGTCGTTATGAGTCGGGTCCGACTCAAGGGCACATAACAACATGTCTGTCTGTATGTATGTACATATGTATATGTACGTAAGTGTATATATATCACATATATATATATGTGTATATATATATGTGTGTGTGTGTATGTGTATGTATATATATATATATATATATATATATATATATATAGAGGAGCTCTGGTAGCATAGTGCCTAAGGCACTTGACTGCTAACCAGAAGGCTGGTGGTTCAAACCCACCAGCCACTCCTCGAAAGGAAGGTTGGGCATTCCTACTTCCGTAGTGATACTGCCTCAGAAACCCAAGGAGGGGTTGCTATGAGTTGGGGCCGACTCGATGGCAAACAACAACAACAACAACATACATATATTGAAAAGCATATATAACATCCATGGCTATTGAGTTGATTCTGACTCCTAGTGACTGAACAGGACAGAGCAGAACTGTCCCGTAGGGTTTCCAAGGCTGTGTGTCAATCTTTATAGAAGCAGACTGCCACCTCTTTTTCCCACAGAGCGGCTGGTGGGTTCAAACTGCCGACCTTTCAGTTAGCAACCAAGCTCTAACCACTGTGTCACCTCGGGCTCCTGCCATGGCAGGGTGCCGGGGTAGAGTGACTGGCTGGGGGCAGGCTGCCTTAGGCAGTCAGGAGACCTGTTTGAGCTCAGGCCTCATATCAAGAAGGAAGCAGCTTATATATATGTGCATGTTACATATATATAAATTTTAAAAGCATGTATACAAGGGAATATATATATGTATGTCTATTTAAAGGAATTCAGAACCCTTCTCTCCAGGCCCCAGCAAATGGGACGTGGATGCCCTCCAGGGAGCAGACAAGCTATGCATCAGCCAGGTGGGGAAACAGCTGTGTCACAAACTTACTGCTGGACAAACTGGTGCCCTGTCTTCTGTCTCTTGTTTCCCTGGTTGTAAGATGACAAGAACATCTGGCCCCTCCTCCACCCAGATGTGTGCAGGAGGTTATGGTGTGAGGAATGCATGAGCTTCGTAGCATCAGGAGGGATGGACCGGTGACAGGGAGAGTGGGGTCCCAGGAAACAGCCAGGAAACCTGGGAAGTGGCAATGTGACATGCTCCCTGCCCCCTCCCCCCACCAAGACAATGTCATAGCCCGAGGCAATCTTTCCAGGACAGGGTGGAATAGGGCTAGCTTTAGAGCCAGGCTGCCTGGGTTCTCTAACCTGGCCCTGCCCTTTCCCAGCTGTGTGACCTTGGGCAAATTCTCCAGCCTCTCTGTGCCTCAGTGTGTTCTCCCGTGAGATGGGATCACAGCAGGATCTACCCCATACAGTTGCTGTGAGGGCTCAGTTAATACAACACACAGAGCAGTGCCCAGGGGAAGGGTGCAGAACACACGGACCTGGGGGTCCTCCCTACCTTCTGCCACCATAGCGCAGACCACGAGACTCCAACTCTGCCCTGGCTGTCTTACCTGGTGCTCTGCGGCTCAGGGTGGTGCCAGCCTGAAACCCCGGGGGCAACTGAGGCTCAGACGCCTTGGAGCCCTGGCGAGGGGGCTGGAGGGCCTCACTGTCCCTGCTTAGGGCAAGGAGCTGACGTTTCCTGGGAGCTCCTGCGTGAGGCTCCCAAGGGGGCTGGGATGTGCGGGGCAGGGAGAAGGATACAGCCGCAGGGCATCAGCGGCGCCTCATAGTCCATGCTGGCGTGCTCCTGACTCTTCCTGTGGGGTCTGAGAAAACAGAGAATGTCACTGAGGCCGGGTCCTGACACGGCACAGACGGGGCAGAGACATGGCAGCTATGATTCCCGCTGATCAGGGACAGAAGAGGCCCTGCTTGCACGGAGTCCATTTTACTGTCCACAGGTGACACTTAACCCAGTGCCAACACGGCACTCACTCTGCCACGTGTCACTGCTCACTGACAGGGACACTTATTCCTCCACACACCCTGGGAAGTGAGCACTGTTGTGCATCTGAGTTGCAGCAGAGGGAACGGGCACAGAGAGGTGAAATCACTTGCTTGGGATCAAACAGCTGGTAGGCAGCAGAACAGGGATGTGACCAGAGGCTGCTCAGGCAGGGCCCTCTCTCAGTCACCCCCACCTCTCCACCCACAGGGTGAGTCTGTGCTGGGCTAGGAGTGACTGGAGAGCCATGGCAGGGCGCCGGGGTAGAGTGACTGGCTGGGGGCAGGCTGCCTTAGGCAGTCAGGAGACCTGTTTGAGCTCAGGCCTCATATCAAGAAGGAAGCAGCTGTGGGCAGAGTCAGAGCCTGGCCTTTCAAGCAGAGGAGCAGCCAGAGCAGAGGCTGCAGCGGGACAAACTTGGCAGTGGGACTGTGGGATTGGCCCCACAAAGTAGATAGACGGATGGAATGGTGGGTGGCATGGGAAGAGGGAAGGGAGAAAAAGTTGGAGGTAGGGAGGGCTGGAAGGCCTCGGTTTCAAGATTCTGAGCAAATGGTTTTGCCAGCCCGGGCCTCAGTTCCCATGTCTGTAAAATGGGCATAATCGCCCCTACCTCAGAGGTTCTTGGAAGGGTTCTGCAACGTTTGAATACAAAGCCCTACACTGAGTACTCAGGAGGGAGAGCTTGGCGCTTCTTTCCCTGCCACGTTTCTCCCTGGGGAGCTTCTCTCCCTGGTCCGCAGCCAGTCCGATCCAGCCCAGACATCTTCGGTGTCCAGGCAGTGTTACAATGACATGACTGTTCCCGGTGACAAGCCCAGAACTGATCCGGCTATGGTGGAGGGAAACTTATTTTGTTTCAAGAGCTTGGCCTCTGGTGTTTGGACATCAGGGGTTTTAAATGAGTCAAGTTAATGTGGCATTTACAAATCGTTACGAACCCACTGCACCCGAGGCTGGGGCCAAGAGATCCCAGGGAATCCATGAGTCGTTAGCCTCTGTTTCTCTCTTTGGATCTTTCTAAATCAGGAACATAGAAGTGAGAGAAGGAAGGCCCTTCCCCGAGCGGGCCAGCGGGCATTTCTGGAATTGAGGCAGGCTTAGCCTTTCTTCCCAGCAGGACGTGCAGTGAAGCATTTTAAATCTTAAGCACTCCAGACTATGAAAACCCAAACAACCAGACAAAGCAGGCACGTCCCACAGGCTGCCGGAGAAGGCTTGGCTGAGCTTTAGAAAACGGCCCGGGTAAAAAGCAGTGTGTTTGATCATTGTTTTCAAAACCCGTTACACACACACTTCAGGTCCTCATGTGGAGCAGGCACCGTGGGCAGGGAGGGAGCGTTCCTGCGCCCGCTGCCTTCTCACCTCGTGGCCGGCTGGGGCCGCATTTGTGGTCGTGGCTGCAGGTAGTCCACAAAGAGGATTTCTTGAGCAAAATCAAAGTGGCAGTTGCCTGGCCCCTTGCGGATGAGGAAGCCCTCTGGGGGGGAGACACATAAGCCGTCCAGGGAGACGTGGATGATTTTGACCTGCAAACAAGAAGAACGACTTGTGAGGAGCCAGGGCCGGTGTGTGGGAGAACAGTGGGTGCTCACACTGCCGGTGCTGTGCCTGTTGGCATTCACAGTGGAACCCCCGGGCTTAGGTAATGGCTTGGTCTGGCTTTTCTTTCAGGCCACAACCACCTGGCTGGGCTCCACTTTCCAGGGTCCCCCTCCTCCATGCGAGGTGCTGTGTTGAGCACAGGGGTGACAAGCTCCCTGCCACAGTTGACACAGATGTGCGTTCTCTGGCCCATACTGTTTGGGAGTGGAACATGACTGGGCCAAGGCCTCAGCCACCTCACCAGCTGCAAGGACCTGAGGTGCTGTGATGTGGTGTCAAGGGCATGGACTTGGGTGCTCTGACATCCACCACTGGTAGTTGTGCAACCTCCCTACAATGACTTAAAAGTACCGGAAGTGCCCAGAACAGTACGTGGCGCAAAATAAGCACTCAGTAAGTGGGGCTCTGCCCCCTTCCTTCTTCATACCCCACGTGCACTCACCGCCTCTCCTGGTGATGAGCCCCTCCCATCTTCCTCCTCATGGCACTCAGCCCATCCCTCCTTAGGGCATGGATTGCCCAGCAGTGTCCTTGGTGGTCTCTGGGTGCCTGGATGCAGAGGCTCCAGGTGAACCATCTCCATGCCCACCTCGGGGCCTGGCACACAGTAAGTGCTTACCAAGGGCTTGCTGAACCGAGGTGGAGCCAGGCCAGAATGTGCTCACCAGAAGGCTGGGGTCTACTGGAAAATCTGAAAGCCTCCTGGTAGGGGCTGAGGGGGCGCAGCTGCACCTGTGCTGTGCTCGCCAGGGTGAGCGGACAAGGGCGACAAGCCAGCACCCTCTCTCTGACTGCAGATTTAGAATTGGGACCCCACCTTCATGGTTAGCAACATGGCCCATGCTGGCCACACTGGCAGAGTTCCTTCTGGAACTGTAGAGAGGAGCCTCCATGCAGAAGGGCAGGTCTACCCTGGGAATCGGGGGTAACTAATGGGCCCTCAGCACTCAGGCAGCCCCATGATGACAGTCATCAGAGCCCTCTGGGGTGCAAGCGTGGCAGAAAGGGAACTTAAGGGCACATAAGCCTAAAAAGTGTAGGTTATGCTGGCTTCAGGCATGGCTGGCTCTGGAGACCCGGAGATGTCACAAGGGCCTAGTCTCTGTCATTCTACATCTCTCCACACCACTTTCCTCCGTCCGATTCTAATGTCAGCTCCAGACCTGGCCAGAAAGACCAGCACCCCGCTGGCCACGTGATTGGTTCACGGTAGGTCAGGTGACTGAACCAGACTCAACTGGCATAAATCTTGGAGTTTGCTAACTCGCCTTGGAAGGGGACTTGTCTCTTTTGCTGGACCTGGAGATAGCAAGGTGTAAGCTCGGAGCTACCAGGGTTCACCCTGTAGAGAGAGTCCCCTGAAGGTGAAACCCACAGTGGGGCACAGCAGACACCCATGAAACCCCTGCCCACCTTCCACAGCCACCACCTCCCCAGGAAGCACCCCCAACTTCCCAGCAGACTTGGCCCCTGACCCTGTCCTCTGCTAATTCCCTAGGAGGTGGTTTCTATTAACAGCCTCATCTTATAGCTAAGGAAATTGGAGTTCAGACAGGCAAAGCCATTTCCCCGAGGACACACAATGGGTAGAGGACTGAAAGGGATTTGAAGCCCCTCTCCTGGAGTCCAAGGCCCTGGCTTGTAACCACCACCAGGGGTTTGTAATCAGGTGTGCAATAGGGTCTTGTGGAGGTAGGCGTCCAAAGCATTCTTCTGGGGAGTGTCCACTATTTCTATCACACTGCACTCCAGGATGCCCTCTTGGGTCACATGTCCATGTCCTGCCTCCCTCATGCCACCACACCCACCTGTCACCGGCACGAGGCTTGTGAGAACTGGACCTATGAAGCGAGGACTCTGAGCCAAGCATTCTAGATGGTAATTTCAGGTCACAGAAGTTCAACCACAAAGACTGTGTTTCACTCAAGGCAATGTGAAGGTCCAAAGGCACATCTTATGGCAGAAGGATATTTTTCCAATACCCCCGTGTCTGACTTTTGTAACGGGCTGTGCCTCTGAGCGCACTCACAAGGACGCAGGTGGCTTTGGGAGGGTTTGTGCACTGTGCACTCAGAGGAGGCAAAACTGTGCTGCGTGCGGCCGGCTCAGCTCCACGCCCCTGGGGGCAGAGGGCTGGGATGGCTGCCCATCCCGTAAGGGTCCCATAAAAGGAATTTTGTGCCATGGTAGGGACAGAGAGCCCAGAAGTGGACCCAAGACCTGAGGCCAAGTCTTGGCTCCGTCAACCCAACAAAGCAGGTGTTACAGTCATCCTTACAGATGAGGAAACTGAGGCCTGGAGAAATCAAGCCCAAGGTCACAGAGCAGGTGAGGGTCAGAGCTGAGAGTCACACGCAGGTCCTTCTGACTTTAGGCCCAGCTGGTTGCTCTACGTTGGTGGCCTTCTTAGCATCCCGTTTTTCCAGAGCAGGGAACATCGTTTATTCATTCCCAGTCACACGAGGCCGAGAGCCCACGGGAAGCAGACTCTGATGCTCATTTCCACGTTCTGACAGTGGCTGTGTTTAAGACGCCACCATACTCTCCCATCCAGCAGAACGACAGACCAGGGAAATTAGCAGAATGGGCTCCAAGTCAGACAGAGCTGTGTGGAGCTCGAGCTGTGTGATCTTAGGTGAGTAACTGAACCTTTCTGGGCCTCAGCTCAATCCCCTAAAAACAGGGTAATAACACCTGCCTCAAAGAGGCTGGGATGAGGGTCCAATGCAATGAATGCCTGTGAAGCCCTCGGTACAAGGCCTGGTCCCCTGAAACTTTCAAAGAGCACAGGGCCATAATTAGCCATCACAAATTGGGGGCTGGGCCTGCTAGAACCTCCCTCATTCCTCCCCCCCAAGAAGAGACAAGGCTCTGCAGTTTCTCAAATCTGCCATGGGTGCTTAGCCTGCATTTGCTGTTTACAGAAACAGAATAAAACAGCACCACGTTCTCTCCCTGGTCGTAACCCCCCAGCTCCATCTGGAAAGTTCTGGAGGATTTATGCTCCTCTCTGGCAGCCATGCCAGCCATTCATCAAGGCGCCATTTCCCTGACAGTAGAAGGAGCACGCTGCCATTCCCAGCTCACCCCTCGATAGGTGTCCTCGGGAGATTTATTGTAGTTCCAGAAGCGCAGGCCTGCGATACTTTCGGCTCTGTCGAAGCGGATTGTGACCACGTGGTCCAGCCCTGGTGAGAAGGGAATCAGCCACATGTGCTCATCCTCCATCGTGATGTTGGTTCCATCAATTAACCTGCAAGCAATGGGACAGCAGCGATGAGACGGCCGAGACATCACAGCATGGGGCTGGCACTCATTCATCTCCCCACTGTGGCCACCCGTCACCTGGCACTAAGCCTGGCTGGACAGGCTCACTAATTAAAACAACAGTAAGGGATCACCCTTCATCTGGGAAGTTAGACAAGATAAGAAAAAAGGAAAAGACAAGACATGAGTCCACGTTCTTAAAAAGCAGTCCTGGTTGTGCAGTGGTTAGACCGCTCAGCTGCTAACTGAAAGTTGGTGGTTTGAACCCACCAGCAGCTCCATGGGAGAAAGATGTTGCAACCTGCTTCTATGAAGATTACATACAGCCTTGGAAACCCTATGGGGCAGTTCTGCCCTCTCCTGTGAGGTTTCTATGAGTTGGAATTGACTCTACATCAACGATTTACTTTTTTCTGCTCTTGGAAGTGTGGTGCAGGAATCATCAAGGTTAAAATAAAGGGAAAATGTGTCATTTTTTCAGGGTCCTTTGATCCAGTGATCTTGTTCTGGATTCTAGTGGTATAGTGCCTAAGGCACTTGACTGCTAACCAGAAGGCTGGTGGTTCAAACCCACCAGCCACTCCTCGGAAGGAAGATTGGGCAATCTATTTCCCAACATAGTGAGTTTGGTTTGTTTGGTAAGGAGTATTTATTCAACCTTGTGATAGTGGAGCTGTGTGTCAACTTGGCTGGACCACAATTCTGTGTAGTTTAAGCAGTTGTGATGTGGTTATTCCCACGATGGGATCAGATGACTAGGTGTTGAGTAGCCAATCCATTGAAAGGGAGTTTCCCTGGGGGTGTGGCCTGCTTCCAGTATATTTACGGACATCCTGGGAGAAGAGACACTCTTCTGTGGATCGGGATTCTGTTGCGCTGCCTATAACTGTCCGTGAGTGAACAATCCACCATTTGGCCTGGAGATCTTGGATTCGTCATTTGTTGGAGTCAACAGCCAGAATACTGTCTGCCAACCTTGAGCTTCTCAGCCCCTGCAGTTGCGTGAGTCGGGAAAAGCCTCCAGCTTGACGTTTGATCCAAGAACTTTGGACTTGCCAGCTTCTATAACAGTGTGAGCCATTTTCCTAAGATTTCTCTTTCTCTCTCTAAGTTTTACTGTTTTTTTTTTTCCCTCTAGAGAACCCAGTCTAACACAAACCTATAGACAAAGCTATCTATGTAAAGACAGTTATTATAGTTTTATTTATAATAATAATAATAATAATACCTCACTGCCATTGAGTCAGATCCGACTCATAGTGATCCCTCCTTGGATTTCTGCGGGGTTATCACTATGGAAGTAGGTTCCTTCTGAGGAATGGCTGGTGGGTTTGAACCACCAGCCTTCTGGTTAGCAGTCAAATGTCTGAGACACTACGCCACCAGAGCACATCCTTTATTTATAATAGCCAAAAAAAAAGGGTATAACCCGAAAGGTCCCGGGATAGACAAATAGTCAAGTCCATTTGTGCAGCTGTCACTGTGCTAATCACAAGACAATGCAGTAACACAGAGTAAAATCTGGTGGCAGTAATGGTAGCATCCTCAGCTCCTGTCAAATTTAATGGGAGATCATGACCAGGTTCAGCCCAAAGCTGATTCTTACGCAGTGGAGGTCAAACATACCTCCACTCTCCAACCTTTTTACCAATTCTGACACCAGCTGTCCCTCCCACACCACTCTGTTTCTCCACTGGGTTTGATAATCCATTGCAATGGCCACACAGAACTAACAGACCATACTTACAGTTAAGTGGTTTAATTAAGAAATAGGATATAACTCGAGATCAAGATCAACAGGCAACAACTCAGGATCAGGATCAGGAAGCATGTAGGCAAGGTCTCCCTTCTTCAGTGGAGGGCAGCTCTCTCAGCTCCTCTACACTGTGCAGGCCTCTTCGCAGCCCCCTGAGGGCAGGCTCTTCTGGGGGAGTACAGGTGGGGCGCTCAGGACAGGCTTCTCTTGGCTCTGCCATTTGTTGCTGCTGGCTCTGTGGCCAGGCCGCTTCTGGCCCTGTTGTAGTCTTCAATGTTACTGCCCTTGATCCATGTTTAAGTTTTTTAGGAGGTTTCTTGCCTCCTCTCTGTCTCTGCTTCGTCCTGCTGTTTCTCTTCCCGCTTTGTTCTGTCTCAGAAACCCCTGTGGGGTTGGTGGCTTATATATACAACTCCTTATCAGTTCAAGCCATGACCCCTCCCAGCGGGAAGCCATGAACTGACCAATCTGGGTAGGTCACAGGTACTTCATTTGCATAACTATTGACCAATCCCTGCAAGATACATAATGGTCAGAGGGCAGGCTGCAACCAGGGTCAGACGAAAAGTATTAGACCACAAATTGTTTACAGTTTACCCAGGAAATGTCACTCAACTTGGACAAAAGTAAAAAATCCTCTGGGGTAGAAAACTAGGGCAAAGGTAACTCCTCAGGGTTTAGGGAAAAAAATATCTCAAGCTTTTTTCCTAAAGAACCAAGGCAAAAGGTTACATAAAGGAACTCCTTTCACCCCACACAGGAAGTCAGGCTACAGGTAGGAAGAACACTGACTGTATGGTGGGAAAATGAGGACAACGGCCAGGTGAGATTATGCCAAAACTGAAATCACACTGGTGTCAAGACACATCAGTTGTTGTTGTTGTTAGGTGCTGTCAAGTTGTCTGTGGCTCATAGTGGCCCTGTGTACAACAGAACTAAACACTGCCTGCTTGTGAGCCATCCTCACAGTCCTTGCTACACTTGAGCCCTTCGTTGCTACCACCATTGTTAGGAAGAGGGATTGGTAGGTAAATATTTTTCTCTATTTTCCAGCCTTTCTGTAAAATTGTTGAATTGACTTTATGATACAATTGGAAAGAACTGTGCCCCTTCTTTCTTGGGATGTAGAGAGCTCCTAAAGAAGCAGGGTGAACCTGACCGCTCCTAGCGTGGGGCAAGTACACAAAGGAGCAGGTGCCTCTCTGGGGACCTTGTCTGGCCTGGCCACCCTAGAACAACTCCTAACCATTGCCAAAGCACTCCAGCACCCTGTGCCCTTCTCAACCACAGTGTTGAACTTGTCATTTGGCCCACATTGCACTCTTGTCCCAATTTCTGGCTCCCCCTGCTTCAGACATCTTGCCTTGTCCTCATCAATTCTGCCTGAGTTTGTTCCAAGGACCACGATGCCTCTGGCTGTCCCTGTCAACCCAGGAAGCCTCAGCCCAAACCCTAGACCCATGTCCTGGCTCTGGTTCATGTGTCTGGCAATGTCATTGAGAGGTCTGGCCCCAGAGACAAGGACTCAACTCTCAGCCTCTAGACCAATCCCCTACTCTGTACCCCCATTTTTGTGAGCCTTCCCTACTCCATATCCTTGGACTCCTGATGTCCTTAATGTGTTGTACTTGGAGAAACTCAGACTGCTGTCACATTACTTAGACTTTAAAATAAATCTTTTTAAAAAATGTATTTATATTTTAAAGTTTTGGATGTAGAATAAATCTTAGAGTATTCATCCAAGGAGGTAATGCTTCTTTTATCTCCAAAAGACTTTTATTAAACTGATGGATGGTGTGCCTTATAATTGATGGTATCTTAAGACAGAGGAGATTCAGCAATATAACACTGGGTGTTTATGGAACTAGCTGGGTGAGGATTACCTTCCAAAAGCAACTGTCTCTCTATCCCAGAAATGAGGTCACTTACACAGGAAAATGGTTGCCAATCATGAAAATAGAGGGAACTGTCAAAGTGTCTGCAGCTGACAGTGAAAGGAGGTCCCTACACACACCTCCAAGAATATGTAAACGATGCTTCTGATCTCTGTCCATGAAAAAGCCCAGAAACAATGACCAACCCATTAGCAATGGGCATCTCTAGTGGCTAGATTATGGTATCTAAGTACCATTTCCCGCTAAAAGGAACTAGGGCTTTTTTGAGAAATAGTTGATTCCATGTCTAGGACAAGATGAGCTTGCACCACTATTTCACATCAGAAAATAAGAAAGCTGCCAGAGATTACTATTTTAAAATAATTCAGGAGTCCATGTGGCCAAGTGCCCAGTGTCCAACAGGGGTTAGTTTGAGCATCAATGAGGGTAACAGATGCCGTGGATTGAAACCCAACAAGCATCACTCACTCACTGCTGTCGAGTCCATCCCCACTCATAGTGACCCCTCCTTGGATTTCTGAGGCGGTATCTCTACGGAAGTAGATTGTCCAGTCTTCCTTCTTAGGAGGGGTTGGTGGGTTTGAACCCCCAACAAGCATGTTGTTGTTGTTGTTGTTTTTATGTGCTGTCGAGTCAAACCTGACTCATAGCGACCCCTCCTTGGGTTTCCGAGGCAGTATCACTACGGAAGTAGGATTGCCCAACCTTCCTTCCGAGCATAGTATGTTTAAATCCATGAGCTTAAAATGATACTCAAAACAAATAAGGGGGACCCAAGATGGCAGATTAGGCAGATACACACTCCAGACCCTCTACAACAGAAACTCAAGAAACCAAGTGAAATGGATAAGAATGACCATCCTGGATCCCAGAGCTTCAAAGGAAAAGATAGAGAAGTAGGTCAAATACCAAACAGAGGAAGAGATTGAATGAAAACAGTGAATAAGGAGGCATATGGTGTGGTGAACTGCCAAATGGCAAAATGGCATGGCCATTTTGAATTTTGGCAAGCAGTGTTCCAATCTGGGCAAGAATGAGATAACCATGTCTGCTCTCCCAGGATTGTAGAGGGAAAAAAAAAAGAAAAACACCTCACTGCCGTCAAGTCAGATCCAGCTCATGGTGAACCTTCCTTGGGTTTCCGAGGCTTATCACTACAGAAGTAGATTGATTGCCCAACCTTCCTTCTGAGGAGTGGCTGGTGGGTATGAACCACAGTGAAAAGCCTTACCAGCACCCCACATTGCTGATCAGTGACCAGAGAGGTGTGATGTCTCCCCTTATCCTGCACACCCTCTCAGTGACCAGAGGCACAGGCCCTCCACCCAGATCCAC